CACGTCTCACTGGTGTACACACCACAGCCGCACGTCTCACTGGTGTACACACCACAGCCACACTTCATGGGTGTGTTCTTCTGCAATGGCCCTTCGGAAGAACAGTCTACCACAGAATGGATCTGTACAAGCCACCTACTAAGAAAAACCCCAAAAGGTATAAACTTCCCATCAAAGAGCTTGGGCTAAGGGTTGAGGGGGTGCTGGGGACTGTGAGGAGCCTTATGTGTGAGCCTCTATTCAAGCTTTGGTGGGTCCTGTTGTTGTCAAAGATGAAACCAGGAGACAGACAACACTGCCTTATAAAACTATTTTAGTTTTCTGTTTTGTTTTCATCTAAGGAAGGTCTCCACTGTGCTTGGTCTCCAATTCAAAATGGATTTGGAGTCCTATTATCATTATTCCCACGACTAAGATTTACAAAAACACACACCAGCCCGACCTGTGTTGCCTAAATCTACCTATTGGTATAATAATGTGCTACAATAAACTGCCAGCGTGATTTGTGACTTTAAAGATGAAACATCTATGTTCAACTGAAAATATGGTCACCTCGGGCTCCTCAACTTTAGCACTCCTCATTTGGGCTGACTGTTTTCTGCCGTGGGGCTTCCTGTGAACAGGAGGGTATATAACGGCCTCCCTGGCCTCCACCCACTAGATGCTAGTACCACCTCCCCCTGCCCAGCTGTGACAACCAAGAATATCTTCAGACACTGTCCAATGTCCTCGCGGTGGGAGAAGGGATTGAGAACTGCTGATGTAGATACAGAACCTGATTTTTAAAGGGTACTCATGTGCCAAATTTTGGCAGCACACCACTTAACATCATGACAGGTTTCTTTTACAACAGTGCTCCACGACAAACAGGTGCTCCCCCAGAGCCCCACACGCAGTGCTCCACGCAGCGTGTGCACAGGCCTGGGCTCTGCCTCGGCGCGCTGGTGTACATCCAGGGTGCACCCGCACACAGGCTCTCGTGGGATGAACCCGCAGGTGCGGCGCCCTGGGTCCCTATGCAAGACCAGTTGGCTCACCTCTTTGTCCATACTCTCTAAATCCTCCTTACAAAGTGTGTACAGCGGCATTGTCTCTGACATACTGGGCTGCCGTTTTCTTCTAGAAGGACCAGGCTGCTCTTCATCTGGGTTATCACGCAACTCTTCATCAAACATCTGCTGTTGATGTGGCTGAACAACTCTGAAATGAATTTTATAGGTCCCACATGAGGAAATCGGTTTGCATTGCACCTTTCAGCACTGAATCAGACCCTGATGCTTGGGCAGGTAAACAAATGCATACAAACAATATTTTAGCTTCGTCAACAGTACCTGCTTATTATACTTTAGCTGAGCTTATTTAAAACGTGGAATTTCTGCGAACTGAGCCAGGCGAGGGCAGCCATGTCCACGCTCACACCTGAGGGAAGCTGTCACCTACCTTCTTTTATCAACAAAAGTGACAAGACCATGTGGCCGCGGACAGTGCTCACTGGCTCCACAGAGTCAGAACAAGGGGCATGTGGAAGAACAGTGATGAACAACTTCCCAGAAACCGGCAGGAAGTGCTAGTTATCCTCGAGATGAGGCCAAGGCAGCCATAAGATTAAAAAAAGAATAATTTATAACCTATCAATAGCATTTAAGAAATGAGTTACTTGGGCTACAGACACAAAACATTTGTTGGCGAATTTGAGAAACAGACTTCAATGGCCTGAAATTAAAATTATTTGTTCACAAAGTACAAAAACTTTAAAGGCAGAAAAGTCCTTCTTCTTATTAAAAATGAATGTATTATAGTCTCCCTTCAGAAAAGTGATTTGATAGCTTTAACCAAAAATTAAACGCCAGAACAAGTATATGTCCCCACAAAAGCTGGTCAGGAGGACACTGACCTTCAATGTGCAGGGGCTGTCGAAAACACCCTGGTGGGCACTGAGCCGACAGGATGCACAGCAACCCGGGACACACACTCAGCATCCATGTGAGGAGGCTGCTCTGGGTGGGCCACACCCCACAAGCAACTGGGTAAGATACTAGACAGAGGGGTCAAATCAAAGGCTCCCCTAGACCCTCCCTGCCCTTTGCACACTCCTACAGGAACACCACCTCCCAGAAGACTGATGGCAGAGCAGCCAAGCACAGTGTCCTCAGCTGCGCCGGCCACTGCAGGGACACAGGGAAGGCAAGGCACTGCCACGCCCGTAACATCTCTTTTCATTTGGAAAACAGTACTCGTTAAAAAAATGCTATTTGTGTTAACATGTAATGGCTTTTACGGTTATTTTTCAACGAATACGTGAATACTTTAAAAATATCTGTTTAATGTAATATGGTAAATATGGGTAGACATATCCCTAATTTTTAAGAGTACAAAGGGATCCTGGGGCAAAAACATTTGAGAACGACTGCTCTAAATCACGCCACTTTTGCAATATTACAATTCTAACAATATTAATGGGAAAATTATTTTAAAATGGCATACCTAAATAAAACTAAGAACCCTAGGAATTAAAAATATTAATCACCACCATTCACGATTTTATGATTTAATTATACAAGGACATTTTTCTTTTAAATAAAAGGTTAGTGTAACGTAATTCAATGAGTATTTTGAAAAAACAAGGACTATTTTAACATGTAAAAAACATGATCCATGACTCCTCACTTTTCACTGAATGTGGAGCTCGGCCCCGGACGGTCCCACACCAGCACTGCAGACATCTGAGCTGTGTAGCTGTGCCGGGGGTGGGGGCGTGCACTGCAGGATGAGGAGCAGCAAGCCGGCCTAGCACTCATCCCTCCCCAGCTGTGACCAAAAATGCCTGCAGATATGGCCAAATATGGGGGGCTGCTTAACTGACCCCAGTCGCAAGCACTGATCTGAGGAAGAACGGCACAATCAACTTTATGGCAGTGACTATGCAATCACTTTACACGATGGGAGAAACTGAAGCTGTAACGCCTCTTTCTACCAAACAGCCAAGTCAGTAGGTCGGCCGCCAACACAGATGTTGAATCTATCTCAAGTGAGGGCCCCTGATGGCTTCTGGGGCCCCTGCAATATGGCTCATCATTCAATACCACCACCTCCCACCATCCCAGCACACGCCCATCACCATGGGTATGGACCAGCGCAGCATCTGCTCAGAGCCATCCTCTTCCCCTCTTCGAGCTGTTCCTACCCTTCCAGAATCAGCTCAAATCTGCCTCTTTCTCATAACTTCCCTGACTTCCTGGCCATCGCCTATCTGAATTCCTTCAGGACAAGCACAACTTCCAAACAATTGAGCATTTAATTACACAGACTTATATCGTTTGCTATCAGTTCAACTTATTAATTTCATCTCCACAGCCTTAAGAATACTAAATACACAGCTTTTCTTATTCACTTACATGATCTTATTACATATTAAGGTTATGAGCCCTGTCGTATTTGTGGCAATTAAAAATAAAATTTGACTCATTTCTTTTTGCTATATGTATTAAAGAGGTAAAATTGATATTTTTCACGCAGTATTTTCTATCACTTGAAGCTTCAAAGTTTTCAAAAGCTCACTGTATCAAGTCATGCAATTCAGAGCACAAGGGACAATTCAACAATCCATGGCGAGCCCTTCCCTCCCAGGCAGGGTGACCAGCACTGACAATTTGATGTATACCCTCTACATCTTCCCCTCTGTCCACACAAGTTTGTGTATGGTGTCACATTATATATGCTACCTCACAGCTTGCGTCTGTCAGTCAGCAACACCTCACAGATGTCATCCAGTTCTTCTATACCCAGAGCTTTCTCATCACTGCATGACACCCCATTGTATGAACTTTCCACACTTTATCAGACAGCCCCACCCAGGCCAGGCACTTGAGGTGCCCCTACTGTGGACAACACTGCAATGGCTATGTTGACTCACACCACTGCAGTTGTCTTAACAGCCAGTGCTCACTGATATCTGCCCACGTGTCGACTCTTTCTGGTGTTCTCTATTTCGTCTGGCATGTGTGTGCTTCCATCTGGCAGCATTTTCCTTCAGCCTGAAGACTTCCCCATAGTAGCGCTTGCTGCAGGTTAAAGGACCACGTTTGCTCAGATTTTGTTTGTATGAAAAGTTATTCATCTTGATCTCATTTTTGAAGTTTTTTTCACTGGGTGTAGAATTTTAGATTAGTAGGTTTTTTTTTTTTTGTCCCTCCATTGTCCTGTGGCACTTATAATCTGTTGAAAAATCGGCCCATCAGACTTACTGTTGCTCCTTCGAAGGTGATGCATTTTTGTCATTCTGGTTGCTTTTAAGATTTTCCCTTTGTCTTTTAAAAAGCTCAACTATAATATGTGTATGTCTGGTTTTCTCCAATTTATCCAGCTTGTGTTTCACTGAGCTTCTGGAACCTGTGGGTTTGTTTCTCAGCCTTTATCTCTACCCGCCTTCTTCTTCCTGAGAGTCTGATGACTTGCGTGCTGGACCTCCAGGCTGTGTCCCACGGACCTCCAGTGTTCTGCTTTCCCCACTCTCTTGATCTGTGCCTTACTGCTAGGGCATAGTCCTTCCAAGATCTCAACTGATGGCCTGAGGTGTTTGCCAAGCTCCTCTCCCCACCCTGCTACCTTGGCAGGGCTTAAGTTCCTAGCTTTTTCTCCCACACTGTGTAGATCTTAAGCTTCTACCTGCTGTTTATTACTGAGGCGCCTGGAGTCTTACCCAGTACACGCACAGCTTAAGAACCACAAACAGAATCTGTATGGTGATTACTTGGACCCCTTCTCCATAGTTCCCTTCTCTCCAGGACTTTGTTCTCAAGCCCCAGTTGCTGTGGCAGCCCCATACTCCAACCCCTGTCTCCTTAGCCCAGAAAATCTACAGCCTCTGCTTGGCCCCTCTTCCCCTAAGCCACTGTTTGGAAAACACCCTCAGAGAAAAGCCAAGTGAGTGTGGTGCTTGCCTCCTGGGCTTCTCTCATCACAGAACTGCGGTCCTTCGCTCCTGCCCATGTTGGCTGCTCTCCAGTGCCTTCATATGGCTGTTACATGAGTTCTGTCCACCAGCTTTCACAGTTATTTTCAGCGGGAGAACTAATCCAGTAAAAGCTACCCCATCATGGCCACACATAGACACAGAATCTTACACTAGTGCGCTCATTCCTAATGGGCCAATTCCTAGATGTGAACATTCCACACATCAAAGGGAGTGTGTTTTCCCAAGAGTGTGCCCACATAAACTCCTTCAAAGTATGCATCAACTTAGTTCCCTGCATTAGTGGTCAGCATTGGAATTGTCACTTTTTAATTTTTTGCCAAAAATGGCATATTGCTTTAATTCACACTTCCCCTACAACTACCAGTGAAGCTGAAGAATTTTGTACACGCTTATTAGCCATTAGGATTTCTTCTTGTGTTAACTATTTTATACTCTTAATCCATTTGCAACAGCATCACTCACTGAGTAATCGATCCCATCTCCCTGGCTTATGTGCTTCGTCACACATACAGGACATACAAACACAAGGACTCTTGTGGGTCTACACATTTTCTTACATTGGTATGTTGTTCTGTTTTTGAGCCAGTACCACACAGTTCTAACTCTGTATGTTCTAACAGTCTTTAATACAGAACTTTGTTAGGAGTTTCTTTAAAATCTTCTGCTAAAATGGCTCATGTCCTCCAAGGCCCACCTTTTCTCTGTTTGAAAACACAGTTATCGTTCTGTCTTGAGTACCCACTTGGTTGGTGAGTCTTTTATTGTATTATTTGCTTTTAATCAAGGATGTTTTCCCTGAAAAGCTGTTATTAAATTAATACTACCATATTGTATATATACTCCAACTCTTTAAGACATCCCAATTTCAATAACAAACTAAAAACTTTGCATTTTACAATTTAATTCAGCAGTTACTGGCTACCAATAGGAAACAGCATGCCAACACTGAGTTCCCATGGAGGCAGGAGTAGTGAGAGTGTGGTACCGGGTGTGTCTACGCAGGACAGATGTGCTTGTTCCACCGGTGCTGCAGCTGCTGCAGGGGGCCATGGAAAGGACATGCACCCTTGTCTGTCTACGTGGTTGGAGCACCAGTTCCAGTCACTTCTGTTCAAAATCAGGGTGGCCTGCCTACAATACCACATAGTCCCTCACAGCATGGCGGTGTTTTCCACGCTTTCTGTGAGTCTGGTGCTCCACTGCAGATGCCTGGATTACCATCAAACCTAGGATGTCGGAGGGGAGAAGGATCTGACCCTTTCAAAAACACTTCAGCATAGATGCTATATAAGGTAATAAACAAAAAATACAGACAGCCTATCTTTAACAACTGAAAATCTATCTGCCTTAAGTTTTAAGAAAGAGAATGATAAGCCTAGATTTAAAAAATCCATCTATCTCTGGAGTTCTGTGGGACAGTAAAACATATACAGTGCTCTAATCTAAAACACAAATCTTTCCTAAGATAATGAGAACTGGAGTTATTATAAACTATTGAAGAATCTTTTTTTTTAATTTCATATCCTCCACAAATATAGAAATAGACTTTATGACACACTTTAGATGAACTTTCAATTAATCAGCAATTTACTTAGCAACAGTTCTAGCAATAGAGAATGCCCAAATATCTACTGTATCTTTGTGTCCTATGATAGAGCTGTACTTTTTAAAAATATGTAGAATTTATCTAAATATTAGATCACCAAAGAATTTTTTAAAAAAGGAGTACAGTATAAATCCACTGTGATGAATATTTCAAGAAAAATTTGTGAATACTGTAAACCAAAATACCAACACATTGCCGTGGAGTCGATTCCAAGTCATAGCGACTCTATAGGACAGAGTAGAACTGCCCCACAGTGTTTCCAAGAAGCAGCTGGTGGATTCGAACTGCTGACCTTCTGGTTGGCAGCCAAGCTCTTAACCACTGCACCACCAGGGCAGAGCCTAATGTGACAAACATTCTTTATAAATGCCTGAGCCATAGGTGTTAATTATGAAGAATAAGACCTAACATTCTGAATGTTCAAAAACAGGATGAAAAATAAAGTAAAACCACAGCAACAGGACAGGGGCTGAATGATTCACGGTGCGTTCACACTATGGGCATCATAAAAAGGAGTCATTCACCAGGAAGCAGTTGCAGCTGTGTGTAGAGGGCAGTCACACTTTTGTCACTGTGAGCAGTACCTATATGTCTGTCTGTGTGAACTGGCTGAGTGGGGAGAAGCAGTATACACAGCACGCCATGCTAAGGATGGGTGGGGAGACTGAGTGACTCATTTTCATACATCTCTGCATCACTTACCTTGTCGCAATACTTAGGTAATTTAAAAATTAAAAAACAACCGCACTATCTATAACTCAAGTTCAATTTATTTCAACTGCTAGCACTGTAAGTGCCACGGAGTTACAGCCCTGCTGCTCCAGGTGCCTGCGCGCTGACTATCTCAGAGTCTTCTCCAGCCCTGGCCTCACAGACCACTGGAACCTCAGGCCCCAGAACTTAAGCAACCTATAAACACGTGTTGAGCTATAAACACTGTTGCATTCTACTAAGAAAGTGATTCATAAAAGAAATGATGATACCTTTTTTAAAAAATGCTGAAGAACTCTAATGAAAGCACTTGAAGGGAAAGAATGGTAATGCCAAAACAGAATGAAATGAGCAAAACGAGGCAGCAGTGGGTGAGAAAACAAAGTCAGGTGGAAACGTGGAGAGAAGAGGTAAATAAAATGGCTTCTTCCGTTAGAGCTAATGTCTAAGGAAAAGAGAGAGAAGAGACAAATAAGGAAAAGCTCCCACACTACTACCAAATCTAAAAATGTTTTGGAGGACATAATCTAACTATTTAAATAAGTAAATATATTATTGGAAGACAATGCAAACTTGATGAGTGACGATGCTTTTAGGATCCAAATAACAGACAGCCAAAAACCCCATGCAGCTGGCACACAGGGTACTGACGTCTTGTCTGGGGGCTGCATGGGACGAGGGCCGTGTGGGGTAGGCGCTGGATGGGACGGGGGCTGCATGAGGCAGGTGCCAGGAGCCTCAGGCCTCTCTCCACAGCACCTACTTGGCCTCTCTGAGCATGGCCCTTTCCGAGGGAGATGCCCCCAACCCTTGTGGTGTATCTCTGCCAGAACCAGTACCTATCTGCATCTGTTCTGAGCACACATGACAGAAGAGCGTGACCCTGCATGGATCTGAGTCTGAGCCATTGCCCATCCCTACATTTACTCCAGCGGGATGACACTGGTCAGTGCAGGCCAGCCAGGCCTGCTCTCGGGGCCAAGGGCAGCACCAGCCACCCTGAGTTCTGGGCTGCACGAGTGCAGGAGGGCGACTCCCCTGGGGAAGAGCCCAGTCTTTCCGGGAAAAGAAGGTGACAACCAACCCACACTTGCTGAGCACAGGAACTCAAAAGCAACCCCCACTTCCAAAGTAAACAGAACATCTGGAGACCCCTCCTTTAAACCTCAAAGCACATTCTAAGTCTGTCTCCCGGGCAGTCTGTATGGCTCTCCACCTCAGCTTGGGGGCTGATGTCAAGTCTACGTGGAGCACGGTAAGCTCATCCACGCTCCTTTGGCATGGTGCTCTGCTCCATATGCCCTCTCGTCCCGGAGCTTGTCTTTTCCTCCTGTCACAACCCTCTGCTGCGACCTCCCTGAGACTCAAGACTTGGTATGTGGGGGCCGGGGCAGAAGGCCTGCTTGGCTCTCACTGCAGGCAACTTCTCTCCGTCCTGCTGGGAAGGACGTGAGTCCGATGGCACAGGGGCATCAAAGGAAGCAGGGCCATCATTCTGCCTGCACCACCGTCAGCTGCTTGCCTCTTCCCCCCAAGGCCCACGGCCCACACATGATCTGTCATGAAAGCTGCACCCTGGGCTGCTCTGAGCAACCTCAAGTGTGTACACCTGCACCTGGGGTCAAAGATGAGGGGGAGGGATGGACAGACGGCTGAGAGTGTGATGGGTGAGCACTCCACAAACCAGGAGTCAACCTGTGACTAAATATCCTTCACTTCACCTGTCAATATTGCTAGTGCCCTACACGACCACGTTAACACAACCAACATGACACACGGGGTACAGTTCAGACAGCATTTGGCAGTAAGCCTGCTTTGCGCCCGCAGATGTACCTGAAGGAGGAGTGCTCCCCATGGGCCGGCAGCGAGGTAGGTGGCGCGGGGGCCTGCGCGTACGGGGGTGGTGCTGTGGGCTGTGTGCCCTTCCTGATGAGCTTCCCGGTGCTGGCGTCATAGATGCGGGCCTCGGGGTTGGGGAGGCTCCTGGGGTGGACAGGCGTGGGATGGAACAAGGCCGTTTGGAAGGCACTCTGCCTGTCGGCGAAGGCCGCGGGGCTGGTCTCCCTGCTGAACAAGAGCACATTACGAAGGCTCCCGAGACACTGGGTGCAGGGCAACCCTGCCAGGCCACCCCACAGGGACCTCATGGGAGACATACATGACTAGTCTTAAATATCACAGCCCAACAACAGTGTTGGGAAGTGATACCACACTTGAAACAACAACTGTCTTCCAGAACGAGAGCCAGTCCTGCCAGCCTAGTGTCCAGAAGACTTTGCACGTGGAGATGGCGCAAAGCTGGCAGGCACCCGCCCCCACCAGAGACCACAAGTTTACTTCCCACTTATTGGCAACTATACAGCACGCTCATCCTCATGTTTCTCTGATACCTGTTTCTGAGGTTTCTAACAAAGAAAGCAAATTTTCAAGCCTTTCTCAACAAAAATAGTTAATTCTCATGCCTTACCGCTTTTCTCAACATGCATGACTCTCTCCCCATAAACACGATACACCTTTTCCATTTTCTTCACCCACCTCTCTCCACCTCTCTTTCTTCCTGTCAGTGTCATAGACCCTGTCATTACTTTGAGGAAAAATCTATCGTAACGTCCCCTCCTGTGAAGGAAGTTAAGATCCACTATCAAAGCCATATTGTGTTTTTCTAAAAGGAAAAGCACTTTGGCTTCTTTTTCAAGATGATAATGGCTATATAAGCGCTTTTAGGGTAATGTGTGAGTAAACAGGGTCAAGAATCCAAGGTGTCGTTGGACTCCTTGCTGTGGGAAAGAGGCAGTGTGAGAGGCTGAGGGGGGAAGCTGAGGACACGGCTGGCAAAGGACACACACACGCCAACTGACAGCTCTACTTCCCCTTGGGCGCACTGAGCCTTTCGCAGCAGCCTGGGACGTGAATCCTGGCTCTCACCCATTAGTGATAGGTTCCCTCCCTCACCACTGACCTCAGCTTTCGCATCCATAGTCAGTGTCGGTGTGCAAGACAAATGGATGCACGGAGGGGCACCGAAGCTGGCTCACCCTGCCCTCCCCGCAGTGTGCACCACGGTACCGCCATGCACCAGCCCAGCCCCTGGCCTCCTCCCGCAACCCCCGTATGCCGTGCCCACAGACCTGCTATGTGATGAGGACTCTGGCCGGGGGTGGAGAGTGCTCACCTCTGCGTCCTGGCATAGTCGTCCCTGAGGGGGAAGAGCTGCTCCTCCACCTTGTCCCACCGCTCCAGGCAGCTCCACAGCCAGTCAGGGTTGACCACGTGCAGGTGCCTACACTCCTGGGCCTGGCGCACCTTCTCGGTGCCTGCAGGGAGATACCACTTGTCAGTCAAGGAGGGCTTATGGGCTCAGAGGCCCTCCACCATGCAGACACCAGGCAGGGCACCTGAGGGCCCCTGGAGCAGGGACTTGCCCCTCAGGATGACCTCCCTGAGCCTGGGAGTCACATCCACAGGTCTTCCTCAGCTCACACCTCTGGTCCACCTCGTTGATAGGCGATGCTCCCGATCACCACGGTACTCCTGTCACAACACACTAACCACCCACGACACCGACACTTCCTTCCCCACATCTCCATCGTCCTCCCCATATATATCCGTCGGTAAGTCATTAACTTGTCTTCTACACAGATTGCCCGTCTGTCCACTTCTGCCCACCCCACGGCTGCCCTAATCAAGGCCATCATGTTCTGCAGAATGAGTGTGGCCTCTCTGACCCCACGCTGCACCTGGTCACCACCTTCCATGAGATGGCAGGCAGCAAGTGATGTCGCACCGTTGTGTAGCCCTGACTGGATGGGCCCAAGGTCCGTGCGTGGCCACTGAGGGGCTGATGCACACCAGCTCACCAGGTGACATATCCTGTTGCCCCATGAACACCCAGTCTGGCCTTTCTCAGGGGTGCCCACCCTGGGTCTCATCCTTCTCAGAGGCACCCCTCCCAGGGTGCAGGTCATTTAACTGTGGCTTCCTCCTGGCCCTGCCCCACGTGGGTAATCTCCCACCCAGTTATGCTCACTCCATGCCCCGCATTTTCCCCACACACAGTGGTTGGGGTTCGGTCACACCCTTCACAAACAGCAGGTTGCCCTGTTCACCCTAAGACCCTCAGTGATGAACTCAGAGGCTTTCCGGAAGAACGCGAGTTCTCCAAAGCCCCATATCAAACCCTACCTTCCTCTTCCAGACCAACCTCTGGGAAAAGCTATTTTATAGCCATGAAACCTTGTGTCCCCTCCACAGTCCCTCTCTGTACCTGTTCCTCCCTTCCTCTGTGTTCCCCACCTCCCCAACCTGGTAATCTGGCCATTCAGGCTCACCTGCCCTGGTCGTCAATCTGCACCCATGGGGCTGCCGGCTGAACATTCTTAGAAGAGCCCTTCTGTCACAACCATCTACTCCAGAGCCTTCACAAGGCCCCTCTTCTCATGAAGCCTCAGCTCCTCTGCAAAGCCTTCAAGGCCCAAACCCAGCTCTACCTGGCACCATAACCAATCACACCCATAGCTCAAATGCCATCTTAGGGACCCCTGAGAAGTAGCCACACATCAGGTGTGAGGAGAGGTGCTGACTAAGGCTGTCAAGTAAGGATGTGATCCCCTGAGCATCTGAGGGAGAGCTCACTGTCAGGTAAGCATGTGATCCCGAGTGGGTCCGAGGGAGAGCTCACGGTCGGGTAAGGATGTGATCCCAAGTGTCTGAGGGAGAGCTCACGGTCAGGTAAGGATGTGATCCCAAGTGTCTGAGGGAGAGCCCATGGTCGGGTAAGGATGTGATCCTGAGTGTCTGAGGAGAGCTCACAGTCGGGTAAGGATGTGATTCCAAGTGGGTCTGAGGGAGAGCTTGCTGTCAGGTAAGAAAACAATCCCCTGCCCACCACTTTTCCAGCCTCAATAAACTACTATGGGCTCTTGTTCCAGTCAAGACCTTTGCGTTCAGGTTCCAGCTCAGAGAGTGGTCAATCTTTTACCCATAAATTGAGGACTTTGACTCCTCTGGAACCAGCTCACCATTTCTTCATTACTGACTTACTAGTAGTCAGTACTCCACTTCCAACCTACTCATGGCCTTTACTCAGTACAGACCCCTGGTGGTGCAGTGGTTAAGAGCACGGCTGCTAACCAAAAGGTCGGCAGTTTGAATCCATCAGCTGCTCCTTGGAAACCCTACGGGGCAGTCCTACTCTGTGCTACAGGGTGGCTATGAGTCGGAATCAACTCGATGGCAACAGGTTTGGTTTTCTGGTTTTTCCTCAGGACAGAAGATTCAGACTTCGTATACAAGTACGCAGACAACACAAGTATCTGACGCTGCAAGGACTCTGCAAACAGACAAGTGTAGGGAGTCAAGCAGAGCATCAACTTGTAATCACCTATGGATCCTCTTACGGTCATGATTTGGGAAAACGTTTTTGAAAATTCAATGTGAAAGAAATAGTGGTGCTAATTTAAAAGAAAATGAATACAATAAAAGCAGTGTAGAGCAATTTTATATATGCTGGAAACACCCTCTGTACCCTGTGTTCCCACCCCAAAAAGAAAGGACTGGGGCAGGGGGTTGGGCACTCACCGGCCCTTGCCGCGATCAGGTGGGTGGCCCTGTTGGGGTCATCAGGACTCAGCACGAGGTTGGTGAGGATCCTGGCCCCGAGGGCCGTGGCGTGGTAGTGCTCCCGGGTCTTCTCCACAGGTAAGTTGGTAGGGTGCAGGCCACTGAAGATGATGGCGACGTCAGCTAGCACTTTGCTCTTCAGCTCTGGGACGATTTTCCGTATGTCTGGGGCCTCCTCTGTCTCCTTATTGAGGTACCTGTCGTACTTGGCATAGTAGTCAGTGTGCACCCGGACAAGGATCTCCTCGAGGTGAACCAGGTGGTCATCGTCGTCAGCGTCCTCCTCTTCCTCCTCCTCCATGCTCTGGTCCAGGGACTCGCCCACAGTGATGCCTGACTGCTCACTGTTCTGGGACTCGGTCTCGGCCTCCTTCCGGTCAGCACAGCCATTCCCTAGGTCACAGAGGCCACCCTGCTCGCCCTCCTCCGGTGCCTCAAGGTCAGGGCCTTTGTCCTGTGGGCGGACACTGGATCCGCACGTGCCAGAGGGGGCCACCCCCGTGGGCTTCTCTGCTCTGGGGTGGGTGCTTGTACCCTTCCGTGTGACCCTAGACTTCCTGCGTCCTCTCTTCCCCTCACTGTCGCTGTCAGAGGCAGAGGAAGAGGAGGACCTGTGGCCGTCGAGCTCACTGTTGCTCTCGCTGTCACTGGACAAGTCGAAATCCAGGTCGTTCCCTGGGGTGCCACGAGCAGACTGCTGGTCTGGTGATGCTCGACCACCCTGTTCCAAAGACATCAGGGGCTCCTTCCCACCGACCGGCTCACTGCTGCCAGTTACGGCACTCAGGGCCGGGCACAAAGGGTCGTTCCCATCTGCTTTCTCATGGGCAGGCGTGTCCCCACTGGAGGGGTCCCCGGTCCCCGCCTTGCTGCCATTCAGCTCCGTGGGGGGCTTTCTGAGGCCGTTGCTCTGCTCCACCCCAGAAGCAGGCTTTCCTTCTTCAGGATCCTTCCCAGACAGCGTGTGCTCTGAGGCATCAGCACCTTTAGAAGAATGGTTTACTAAAGGTGCACACAAAAGAAAAAGCTCCCATTATTTAACACGAACACCAAGAGCTTCTTTAATTAAAAGCAGCATGTCCCGCCCCTGTTGTTTGAATTTAACCATCTTCTAAACCAAGCATCAGCAAACTTTTCTGTAAAGGGCCAGGCTGAAAACGCTCTAGGCTTTGGGAGCCACGTATTGTCTCTGTTATTTATTTTCTTAAACACTCGTTTAAAAACGTAAAACCATTCTGAGCTTGCAGCCCGTTTCAGACCTGGCTGCTGTTTGCAGCCCTTGTTCTAGATGACTTCACGGCCAGCAGCAGCACCCGAGAGGGCGATGGCCAGGCTCCCTCGCCTGCATCTCTAGACTCCTCCTAGTGGACGACAGCAATAACTGCAGGACTCAAAGCACTTCACTTGAGAACTAAAGATCACCCCATAAAATCAAACCAAACCCATTGCTGTCAAGTTGATTCGACTCATAGCAACCCTGTAAAACAGAGTAGAACTGCCCCACAGAGTTTCCAAGGAGCGCCTGGTGGATTCGAACGGCCGACTTTTTGGTTAGCGGCTGAAGCACTTAACCACTATGCCACCAGGGTTTCCAAAGATCACCAGAGATACTTTCAACCAAAGTTCTCAATTTTCCGGAGACCCTGGCTTCATGCTTGGGGTGTGCAGAGCTCACACGGTTCTGAGACTTGGGCCCACTGCACCCCACATTTCACTCTCCAACGGAACGCTAGGCCAAATTTCCACTGCTGTGCTTTTTAAAGAAACTAGGAGGAAAGGTAGTATTCATAAGTATTAAGCAACATCCTTTAATCTTTATTCGACTGGGGAAAGTGTCTAGGTTAGTACTATTAAAAAAAAAGAACCCAAACTGAAACCAAATAACATGCTTTTTAGTACTGTATAGATAAGCCCAACAACCTCTTTGAAGCATAACACAAATAACAACAAAACCAAACAACCTTGAATTTCTAGCAGCCAAATTAGCAGTTAGAAGTGAAGGAGATAATGCAGGAGCAGATAATCTCCTCTTTTCACATAATTAAGAAAGCCATCACGCACCCTTTTTTCTCATCTGAGTGTCCCGGGACCCAGGAGGAGCATTGATATCGCCTGTGCCCTGGAAGTAGACATATTTCTTCACGGTTATCAGATTGGGGGCAAACTTCCAGACATCTTCTCGGTCATCAATAATGCAAACCATTGAGTCTCCACAAGGAAAGAGATTTCTAGAAGTAAAAATGTATCAGAACTATTAGCACAATGTACAAAAAATAATAACTAAAAATTGGAATAATTTTTTATTTTGCTGAGCATAAAGGTTTAGGATTCTATTTATATGTAACATTCAGATATTTTCGTCTGTGTGGGCCAACTCCGTCACTGCGGCGGGAAAGTAGTCACAGACACCAGGTAGCAAATGGGTGTGGCCATGTACCAAAAAAACTTTGTTTACAAAAGCAGGTAGCTAATCTGCAGGCTGCATTTGCTGGCCCTGCTCTAACAGGGAAGGGACTTCAAATACGAGAGCATGAACTTACTCAAACTTTAGTTTAGAATAAAACAGCTGTGTTCCTGCAATGTACACATAACTGGTGTTTTTTCAAGTCCAAGAAAGTGACTGATGTACTTCCAAAAGCCAGGGGGATGTGCTAGGTGAGCAGAACGTAAAAAAGGCCCATAGAGCTGTCTGAGCAATGCAGGACACAGCTCTGCTACCCTCACGCATCTGATCAAGTTCAATCTTGGCCCACGGTTTTGGGGCTCAGACAGGCAGGCTTGTAGCACCAAACATTCAGAATGATGAGTGCTTTGCACCTGTCTTCTAGGATCAGGAAATAAACAGGAGAAATGCCGCCAGCACTTGGTCCACAGACCCTGGCTCCTCTGGCTGCTTTTGGGAAGTGAAATCTCCAATACCTCCTCACTCTTTATTCTCTTCTGCCCTCATCAGCCTGCTCATCCCAAAGCAACCAGTAAAAATAAGATTTGTTTTTGAAACACACTCACAATTCTCTCCTTAGTTGGTATTAACTTGAATAGGCCACACAGTCATGTGGATTTCCTAAATCTAAAAATGTTTGCTGAGGGTGGCCAACCCTGAGGCTAAGGTGGTTGCTCTTCAAGTCTCTCCAGGTATCAGTATCCATGAGAACAGGCTACACCTGACGCCGTTATAATGGCTAGGACCACTCACATGGGGCAGCAGGGGTGGAAACCAAAGCCTGTTTAGAGTTGTTTCAGAAGTGGACGGACCAGCACAAGGACTGCTGGGGTAGGGCAGAGATGGGAGAAGGTTCCCCCGCATGGGCAAGGGGAGGGCCAGGACTGATGACACAGGAGGCAGAAGAGGAGAAGTCTGGGCTAGAAAACAGGCATTTTCTAAAGACTCTGAGTCAACACTCAAAAAGAGGTAGGGAGGGGGCCTACATCCCTAGAAAATGTTACATACAGAAGTATCACTATAATTCTCAAAATGCAGTTTTAAAATGGGACTGAGCAGCGAGCTGTTGAGAGATCAGCCGTTGAGAGCCAAGTACACACCTGAGGTTCCCCGTTTTAGAAAAGGGGTCAATGCATTCGTCCCGCGATAATATTCGGTGAGAAAAAAGCTTCTTCTCAGGGTCTAAAAAGCCTTTTAAAAGAAAAAAGAACAGAGTTCAAATGTCGAAGATTCATTTCACGGCACCTTTGCATTCAGGGAGTCTACTAACGTGGCTTCAGCACACTGGAGAGGAAAGCACATGTCATCCGTCATTATGCCAGCACCACACTGCCTTGGTGACTGCAGCCTTGTAGAAGGTCCTCCTACTCTTTTTCAAAATCGTTTTGGCTACTCTGGGTCTCTTACATTTTCATATAAACTTTAGGATCAGGTTGTCAATTTTTGAAAAACAGCCAGCTGAGATTTTGATAGGGCATAGAGTTGAATCTGTTGATTAATTTGGGGAGTATTGCCATCTTAGCAAAACAAAATTTTTTTTTTTACATTGAACTTTATTTACTGATTAAATTTTTCAACTTGTACATTTAATATAACATATCTTCCATATTGAAATACTTCTAATACTATACCTTAGAACTGACATTTTCTGCAAGTTGTAACAATATGCATTATCTGAAGAATACAGAAGTATTTTTATTTTTCCACTTAATGATGCAACACACAAATGCTGACTATATTCACGTAACTTTTTTTCTCATTTACAATTAAAAGACTGGTGAATCCAGAGGATCTGCTGCAATCACTATACCCCAGTGGCACAGTGGTTAAGCACTCAGCTGCTAACCAAAAGGTCTTGGAAACCCTATGGGGCAGTTATACTCTGTCCTATAGGGTTGCTATGAGTCGGAATCAACTCGACTGCAACGGGTTTGGTTTTTGGTTTTATGTAAGTATTTCAATAGTTTATTCCAACCCATTTCTTCTTTTATACTCTAAAACATCTTCATTATGTTGTCTGATGAGATAAACTCACAGGAAGACTGTGGTGCCTAAGGTCAGCCCAACTTTCAGCTAATCAGGTTTGCTATTCAGCAGCTCCTGAACACAGAACTCTGACCAAGCTGAAAAGCTGCCTGGGAGCTGGGCCAGGGCCAGTGGCCAGGAGAAGGGGAGCAGCAACACGGACGCCGCCATCTTGCCAGCTGGGCATGTTAAGTTTTTTGATCCATGAATATGGTCTTTCCATTTATTTAGAACTTCTTTCTTTCAAAAATGTTTTGTAGTTTCCTGTGTGTAAGTCCTGTACTTCTCTTGTTAAATTTATTCCTAAATATTTTACTATTATTTTAATAATATTTTGTTTTTGGTGAAAGTTGACATAGCAAGTTAGGTTCCCATTTTACAATTCCACACAAATTGATCAATGACATTAGTTACATTTTTTCACAGTATGTCACAATTCTCTTCAGTTGTATTCTGGTTGTTCCACTTCCAGTACGCTAGTTTCTCTGCCCCCTTATCTTCTCATCTTTGCTTTAGATTAAATGTTGACCTTTTGGACTCAAACAGATAGTTTTTTAGTAAGGCACTGATCTAATGGGTAATATCCGTTGTGTCATTCTGTTTTTCTGCTAAAAGGTGATCTCAGGGGTTTATTATTTTTGATATTATTCTAAAAGAAATTTTAAAATTTCATCTTCAGATAATTTATTGTTAGTGTATGGAAATAAAATTGATTTTGTATACTGACTGTATCCTGCAGCGCTGCTGAACGTGTTCATTAGTTTTAATAGTTTTGTAGTGGATTCCTTGGAGTTTTCTACAGTCAAGATCACGTCAGCTGTTAATAAGGACAGTCTTACTTCTTCCTGTCCAATATGGATACCTTTTACTTTTTTTCTTGCCTTAACTGTCTAAGTTAGAACTTCCAGTACACTGTTGAACAGAAGTGGTGAAAGTGGGCATCCTTGTTTGTTGGGGAAAGTACGGAGTCTGGTGTGAGCTACGGGTTCCTTATAGATGTCCTCTATCAGGATGAAGAGGTTTTCTTCTAGTTCGCTGAATGTTTTTATCGTGAAAGAGCATTGGATTTTGTCAGATTCTTTGTGTTTCTACTGAAATGAACACGTGGTTTTTGTCCTTTATTCTATTGATGTGAATGATTTTGAGATGTTAAATCAAACTTGCATTCCTGGGGCAGAAACCACTTGGACATTAAAGCAGAGTGTCTGATTCCACCATGGATGTTTGCCCTCTGACAGCGTTCAAGCACCATCCCCTCATCCTTGTCAAAGATCTGGGCAGCTGGTGAAGAAGCCCACAAGCTCTTTCCCAACTACCAACTTGGCTTCAGGGATGGCTTACTGATTCTCTTCTCCTTAATCTTTAAGAAATCTTTAATTACTAAAAGTAAGAAATACATCCTGCCTCTTGCCCATGTTAAAGGTCACCCACCTGCGATAGTGTGTGCGTACAGCCGGCTGCCAAAGGTGAAGACATGCAGCTCGTATAGCTTGGCAACCTTCTCCAGGAACTCCTTGCAGTGCGGACGCAAGCGCGTGTGCAGCATCGGCTCGCCGCGGCCCAGCTGGAAATGGAATATGCCCTGAAAGGAATAGGGGGACCAGTCACAGACAAGACCCATTACAAAGAGCATACATCCTAATTATACTCCTTAGGACACTGGTCCTACAGAATGCTTTAGACTTTCCATGTCAAGTTACTACTGTCAAGACAATTCCAAACCCACTACCACACGCACGCTCCCAAGGGAACAGTGCCTTCCCTTCTCTGCTGTAGACCCAGCTGCCCAGCCAACGTGGTCTCACGAGAAGGTTGGAAGAACATAGGTAGGTCCTTAAACTTTCCTATTTTGCTCCATACTATTATTCTGATAATAGATAAAACAAGCATCCCTAAAATATGTCATTTATGTCTGTTTCTTCAAACAGTATTTGTTAAATAACAGAGCCACAGCAGGTTGCTTAGAATACATCTCCACATGAGGACAGAATTCTACTGAGTTATTGATAAAAGTCAACTGAACGTTTTCAGATGACTTAATTTAAGATGGTAAACAAAAAACGTACATTAAAACCAAATTAAAATACGATTATCATGTTAAAAGTCTAACTCAGCTTTACTAACTTTCAAGTGCAATCCAGAAGCCGAAACTGTATTCAAAATTGTCTTTAGTAGACAAATGAAATTAGTAATACCGAAATTTTGCTTACACACAATTAATATGCAAGTAAGTTTATTTTCTTTAGGGATCCTTTCCATCCTGTTTATCATTAATTTTCTCAGTAAAAACGTCTACCATTAGCAACAAGTTGGAAAAAAAAAAAAAGGATAGGCTTGTTGTTAGGGCCGAGTTAAATTTTTATTACTCTGAGTTAGTCAGACCCCTCAAGATGAGGCTATTCTGCTAAAAGATTTAAAAGTGTGAAATTTTATAAACGACTTTCACCCTACTCGTTTGCATTTAGTCAATTCCAACTCATGGTGACCCTAAAGAAGAGAGTAGAACTGCCCCACAGGAGCAGCTGGTGGATTCGAACTGCCAACCTTCTGGTTAACAGCCAAGTTCTTAACCACTGTGCCACCAGGGCTCCACTTTCATCCTAACCAAAAAAACCAAATCTGTTGCCGTTGAGTCAATTCTGACTCATAGCAACCCTGTAGGACAGAGTAGAACTGCCCACAGGGTTTCCAAGAAGCAGCTGGTGGATTCGAACTGCTGACCTTTGGTTAGCAGTCGAGTTCTTAACTACTGCACCACCAGGGCTCTACTACTCAACAGTAAAAAAAGAAGTCCAATAGTTACAGTAAAACTTTCCTTAAAAATACAAGTTCATGGTGAATGTAATTAATGTCACTGAATTGTACACCTAAAAATGGTTAAAAAAAAAAAGGCGAATTTTTTGCTATATATATTTTGCCACAATTAAAAAAAAATATACACGTTCAGATTCCCAAAGTTAGGACTTAAACCCATCTTTCTCCATGCTGCAAGCAGGTTTCCAGGGATGACAACTTAAAGGAGTTTCAGGAGGTGTGGATTGTGGGCAGAAGATCCTGAGTAAACATGGGAAAAACCTTTTAATTATGCCCTAATGAGCCCATTAGCAGGACAGTCTGCACGTTGTACACCCTGGGTGTAAAGTGGAGGGAAAGCAGAAGGAGTGGCCTGCGAAAGCCACCAGCATGAACTTGACTGTTGGTGCCTAAACCACTCGGTGCTGTCACGTGGACATGCTTTCCCTCCAGATCACACAAGCTGGCAAATGGGCACCTTATAAATAGTTCAAATGGTCTCTTAAAACTAATTAAAAATGCCAGCCTTCAAAGGCACAATAAAACCAGAAATAGCCAAGGCAATACACGCAAGTACATACATGTACATAGTATCTTCATAAAGTTCTTATATCTTGTAAAACATTTAATAAGTAGACTACTAGGTAGGAATGAAACAATCCAAAAAAATTTAGTTAACAGTTTATATTACGCAAAAGAATATAACGTATTCCTACATAAGATCCTATGACGTACAAAAATGACTAATATAACTAAAAAATATAAATTGTGTTTTGTAGGAGAGACACTCACTGCTGGTCACCAGGAACATTAAACTACCTCCGTAATACATACAACAGAGTTTAAGGAGAGTACCTTTTACTGCGTAAGGAATTTGTGCAGATCAATGCACGTATGTTTGTATCACTGATCTACACCTACTCCTCACTATTGACTATCTCGTCATCTGACATTTTGCATTTATGACAGTACTGAAATATCTACTATCTGACTATTTTGTGCACTAACGATAATATGCCTGACAGTAATGAATGCTGAGGTGCGAGGTGAGAGTAAAGCTGGCTGTGATGGTTAGGGTTATGTGTCAACTTGGCCTGGGCCATGATTCTCAGTGGTTTGGCAATTATGTAACGATGTAATGTGGCAGTTACGTAGTGATATAGGCATCCTCCGTTTTGTGGTCTGATGTGGTCACCCTCCATTTTTGTGTTAACACTAATTTTCACATAACCACCTGGTCTTTGGAACCAACCATGTCGGCAAGTGAGGAGTGGGTGTATTTACTAAGACAAAACTAAAATGATCAAACTTTTTTCAGATGCGATTTATAACAAATCTTTAATTACACGGTTTTCATAAATTTTTGTCAAACCTGTCATATAGTACTACTACTCTTCTAATGCCGCCAATGAAGAAAGGCTTTCAGTTTAGCAGTGGCAATAAGGGACACTTAGTTCTTCAGTCCAGACTGGTTCTAAGACTACCTTGAGAACACAGACCCTATAAAAGGGCACATACACAGGCAAGGATGAAACGACAAGGCACAGTTAAACAGACAAAATCTATGACCCTGATCTGTTTCTCAAATCCAGGCTGACTTATGGAAAATAATAAAATAAGACAATGTGCTTTCGGCCTAAGCTTCCTGAGGAATTGTGGATGCACCTTGTTTGACATCTGCTGGCAGTGCTGCTCCGTCGTGTGGATCAAGGTCTGGTCCAAGTCGACCATGAGCACCAGCTTCCTGTTCCGATGCAGTCGCTGCTGATCTTCCCGTCCCAATTGTTCAGCTTGCTAAAATGAAAAAGAAAAAAGAAAAACAAGAAAGTAAATGTATCTGAGCCAAAATGAGATTCAATTTTATTAAGGAAAAAAGGACACCACAGAGTTCTAACCAATCTCCACCACCTGCCACCTCCCAGATGAACCTCAAATGCGTATGACCTTCTACACAACATCTGCACACCTGACCACTCAGCTAGCAGGTCACTCCCTTGTCGGCCTGTGTTGTATGTGTGTCAGAGAAGAACTGTGCTCCACAAGGTTTTCGGGAACAGAAAGCCTGGGCTTTCTTCTGAGGCACCTCTGGGTGGATCTGAACCTCTAACCTTTCAGTCAGCAGCCAAGCACTTAACTATTTGCACTATCAAGGACTCCCCTTCTGTCTTGCGAGTAGTTGTTTCAGAAAAAGCAGAGACAGCAAATTTGGTGTTTTCTCCAACCCTCCCTCTACCAAAGAAGAGAGTTCTGTACATGCCCCTCACTTCCCTTAGGAAAAGGTTTTCTCAAATGTTACCTCTGCCATAAAGCAGCAGGGACTCACCTCGGAGCTCACCATCAGCTCAGGCACGCTGTGCACCATGGACACGGTGGCTGTGGAGAGTGGTGCCCGCTGCCGCCCGTTCTTGCTCTGCAGCCTTTGTATGGAGAGAGGAGTGTTACACATGTGTTTTCTAAACCACGGGTGCACACAGTAGAACGCTTAAGTCTACCCTGGAGGGTTTTAGTCCACATTTTCATTGACATGTACCACTAGCTTAGTGCAGAATCTTACTCTGTTGTTGACTGCCACTGAAATGTCTCCACTGTCGGAAACTGCCTGAAAACAGACAAGAACCCTGGAGAACAGTAAGCTGATGATCACAAAGCTCTCTATCAAAATAAACTGTAAAAGTCACCCTGAAACACAAAGGAGCTCTCATATGTGAAAATACAGGATAAAAATTCTAGTACGAATAGCCCACGTGACCTTTAATTTACAAACTAAAACCACCACCCAGTGTCAGTGGCTAATCTCATCCACAGATACGTGCTCAAGGACTGCAGAGGCTACAAAGCCAGGCCTTCTCCAGAGAGGCCACCAGGGAAGTAAGTAACATGCAGTTTACGTACTCCACTGCTCTTCTACACACCTTTGGGATCTCCCCTGAGACTACCACTGGAAATAATCTAGTGTTTTTAGAATGTGAAGAAATAAAAAGGACGACCTCCTGGGGAAACTGACCTGACGTGAGTACATCTCGTAAAGAGAAGGGGACATCCATCATTTGTAATTAAAGCCCTTCTGCTACCACGTCTATGCTCCTGAAACATTTACTCTCTTCTTACCCAGAGATCAACGGATCCCAAATGCTGATGGACACCATTTTTCTCTCCTTGTGGTACTTACTGGGTTAAGTCCTGGCCACACTCGGCACAAAGCCCTTTCATGACAACGGGGTGGCTGCATCCTTCCAGTCTCAGCAAGACAGCTCTGCAAACAGATGGAACCACCATTATCAGTACACTCTGTGGGGACAGGGAAAGCTGAATGTTAGCGCTGCTCTACCCTGAGCTCTGGTGTGAACCCAAGTGCGAACACCCTCTACCCCAAGCTCTGGTATGAACGAGAGTGTGAGCACCACTCTACCCCAAGCTCTGGTGTGAACCAGTGTGTGAGCACCACTCTACCTTGAGCTCTGGTGTGAACCCAAGTGCAAACACCCTCTACTCCAAGCTCTGGTATGAACGAGAGTGTGAGCACCACTCTACCCCAAGCTCTGGTATGAACCAGAGTGTGAGCACCACTCTACCTCGAGCCCTGGTATGAACTAGAGTGTGAGCACCATTCTACCTCGAGCTCTGGTATGAACTGGAGTCTGAATGCTGTTCTACCCCAGGCTCTGGTGTAAACCTGGGTATGAGGACCCTCTACCCTGAGCTCGGATATAAACTCAAGTGTGAGCACTACTCTACCCCAAGCTCTGGTGTGAGCCAGAGTGCAAGCACCCTCTACTCAAGCTCTAGTGTGAACTTGAGTGCAAGCACCACTCTACCCCGAGCTCTGGTATGAACTGGAGTCTGAATGCTGTTCTACCCCAGGCTCTGGTGTAAACCTGGGTATGAGGACCCGCTACCCTGAGCTCGGATGTAAACTCAAGTGTGAGCACTACCCTACCCCAAGCTCTGGTGTGAGCCAGAGTGCAAGCACCCTCTACCCCGAGCTCTAGTGTAAACTTGAGTGCGAGCATTACTCTACCCCAAGCTCTGGTGTGAACCTGAGTGGGAGCCACTACTCTACCCCAAGCTCTGGTGTGAACCAGAGTGTGAGTACTATTCTACTCCAAGCTCTGGCATGAACTTGAGTGTGAGCACCCTCTACCCAAAGCTCTGGTGTGAACCTGAGTGTGATCACTACTCTACCCTGAGCTCTGGTGTAAATCAGAGTCTGAACCTTGCTCTACCATGAGCTCTGGTATACACCTGAGTGTAAGTGTCCTCTATGCCAAGCTCTGGTGTGAACCAGGGTGTGATCAGCTTCCACCCTAAGCTCTGGTGTGAACCCGAGTATGAGCACTACTCTACCCCGAGCTCGGGTGTAAACCAGAATCTGACCATCGCTCTACTCCAGGCTCTAATGTAAACTGGAGTATGAGCACTGCTCTATCCTGAGCTTTGATGTGAACCCAAGTGAGAGCACTACTGTACCAAAGCTTTAGTGTGAATCCAAGTACAAGCACTACTCTACCCCTAGCTCTGGTGTGAACTGGAATGTGAGCACCACTCTATCCCGAGTTCTGGTGTAAACCCAGGAGTGAGCACCCTCTACCCCTGAGCTTGAGTGTAAATCTGAGTGTGAGCACTACTCTACCCTCAGCTCAGGTGTAAATTGGAGTGAGAGCACTGCTCTACCCCAAGTTCTGGTGTAAACCCAGGTGTGAGTACCCTCTACCCTGAGCTTAGGTGTAAATCGGAGTGAGAGCACTGCTCTACCCCGAGCTCTGGTCTAACTGCAGGTAGGTCTCATTACCCCGGGATATCATTTCATATCTAAAAAATGAAGGCACCAAACCACTATGTCACTAGTCTCATCCGCGGTATCTCTCACTTAGAGAGCGAGAAGAACAGACTTGGGATGATGTATTCATTCCCTGAAATACCTAAGATATTTACATATGATCTTTTCATACTTCTGACAAAGAATTTATAAAAACAAAACCTTGTTAATTAAATACTATAAGAAACAACTTAGTATAATACCGAAGATTAATAAGTTATTATTATCTCCTCACACGCTACTGCCAGTCTATATGGAGGCTATGGTTCAAGAAAATTTTTATGAAAGAACTACTATATTTCTAATTTTCATACATAGAAACTGAAATTAAAAACACAATACCATTTATAATAGTTACAAAGAAAATGAAATACTTGGGTATAGAACAGGTAGGACCTGTATGCTGAAAATCATGAAACAATGATGAAAGAAATCAGAGACCTTAATAACTGGAGAGACATACTGTGTCCATGGATTGGAAAACTCAGCATAGTAAAGATGTCAGTTCTCCCCAATGATCTACAGGTTTGATGCAATTCCTATCAAAATCCCAGCAAGTTTTTTTTTGGAGTCAGAGAAGTACATTCTAAAATTTATATGGAAAAGCAGAGGCCCTAGAATAGTTGACAATCTTGAAAAAGAAGATGAGAGAAATCAGTCCGTCCAACTTCAAGACTTATTATTTAGCTACAGTAATCAAGACAAAACCAAAAAACCAAACCTGCTACCGTCGAGTTGATTCCAACTCACAGCAACCCTACAGGACAGAGTAGAACTGCCCCATAAGGTTTCTAAGGAGTGCCTGGTGGATTTGAACTGCTGACCTTTTGGTTAGCAGCTGTAGCTCTTAACCACTATGCCACCAGGGTTTCCTAACCAAGACAGTGTGGCATTATTGGCAGATAGACACATACGATCAATGCAACAGAACAGAGAACCCAGAAATAGACACATACAAATATGCCCAACCGATTTTTGACAAAGGTGCAAAAGTAATTCAATGGAAGCAAGACTCCCATAAACAGTGCTGGAGCAATTGGTCATCCACAAGCCAAAAAAAAAAAAAAAACCCCAAAACCTTGACCTAAGTCTCACACCTCATAAAAAATTAACCCAAAATGGATCACAGACTTAAAACTATCAACCTTTTAGAAAAAAACAAAATCTTCAGAATCTAGCGCTTGGCAAAAATTCTTAGACTTGACCAAAAGCACAATGATTCATAAAAGAAAATGATAAACTGAACCTCATCAAAATTAAAAACTTGCTTTGCAAAAAACCTTGTGAAGAGGATGAGAAGAAAAGCTATACACTGGCAGAAAGTATTTGCAAAGCAAATATCAACAAAGGGTTACTATCTAGAATATATAAAGAGCTCTTAAAATTCAACAGCAAAAAAAACAAACAAGCCAATTACAAAATGGGCAAATGACATGAAGAAAACATTTCATCAAAGAGGATAAGCAGGTGGCAAAGAAGCACATGAAAGATGTTCAATACCATTAGCCACTAGGGTAATGCAAGTTAAAACCACGTGGAGGTTATCACTACACACCTATCAGGATGGCTAAAATAAACATTAATGACAGCACCAAATGCTGGCAAAGATGTGGAGAAACTGGATCACTCATATAACGCTGGTGTTAAAATGGTACCACCACTATGGAAAAGTTTGGCAGTTTCTTAAAACACTAAACATGCAAAAGCAAAACAATAAAAAATGGGCCACAAAACATAGAGACACTCTGTGTTCCAAAGAATCAGCTTACCAGTATCTCATAAATAAAAATGGATGGTTATACACTACCTCCTTCCTTACTGATATGTATCCCAAAGTTGGGATACAACTTCTGGGACTGCAACTAATTTCCATGGGCTGACAGCAACCAAATGGCTACACCTAACAAAGGAAGCACCTACCTCTTCCCATTCAGGGGTAGTACCCAAGCACTCACCTCTTTCTTCCCTTCAATTCTGTGGGTTCCTGTCTCCACTAGTCATTGGGTGCCCCCCACCCCCACTGGACTGTGAGCTTGCTGGGGATGGGGGTCACACTTACCCACCTTGTATCCCTTGCAACCCAACAGCGCGCTTTACCCAAAACAAAAAAATATTTGTTCAGTGAATTTCGCCTGGGCATCAGGCATCTTCTCCACACACCACTCTCACTGCGCATTTCTCAGAGAAAGAGCCCCTTTCTTGGTGCTTTCTATCCCTGGCCGTTCCTCCAGAATCTTGCTCCATTAACTGATCCCTCTCCCTAAGGTGTCGTCTTCTCCTTCTTTAATATCATTTTAACCTCTACCCAAAAATTTGCCCAAATTTCTCCAATCTTAAAAAAAAAAAAGGAAATATAAAAACCCCATACCCAGACCACATTACAGCCCCTCTCGTCCTCAAAACTATCTTCCTCTTCTTATCAAACTTAAACAAGACTAGTCCATATACTAACTGCTTGAGATTTTATTTTTACCCAATCAGCAACGGCTCAATATCGTCTTTCTTCAGATTTCATAAACATTAACTTCCTATTGATCGCCACTGGTTATCAAACACTCCTTAAGGACATGCCTGCTCCCCGTAATCCCATCACGATGGACCAGCTTGCCTGTCTGCCCCTCCAAGCCCTTCTTCACTTCTTGGGCCTTACACCAACGGGCTTTGTGCCTCCCACACCTGGCAATGCCTGCACGGGGCTCTGTCCACAGAGCTGGGGGTTCACGTGTGGCTTCCCAACTCCAGCTCAGACCCTCATCAGCCGGCAGGCCCTCTTCCCTCGAATGGCCCCCTAGCCCCTCAACCACAGACTACCAAAACCCAGTCCTCCACATGGACACCCAAATCCTGGCTCCTGATTTCTCTTAACCTAAACACCATTCTTCTTATGATCAAGTCTTAAAATGTCAGAATAATGCTTTACTTTTCCCTCTCATTTCATCACTTACCAAGTCTTAGCAATTCAACACAAAGAGCTCCTCCATCCCCTTTTCTAACCCTCCGCCACCACCACCCTTAGAGACAACCACTAATGTGTTTCCCTTGTCTCACTCCTCCTTTCAAGCAATTCTACGTATCACTTCCAGATTACCCCTCTTTAATGAAACACCTCTCAAAGCTCCCAGTTTAATTAAGAGCACCATTCTCAATGTTGAGTTCAAAGCCTTCCACAACACGGTCCCACCCTCCTCTTCCAGATGAACCGTTCACAGGCAACTCAGAATTCAGACTCAAATACCTGCAACATTTTCCCCTTCCCTCCCTTTGCTTATTTATGCTGTTCTTTTGGCTTAAACGCCCTTTCCTTGCATGAGTTCGAGAATGAGAGGTCTGGTAAGGTGGAATGTCTTGTCTGAGATCACACTGGCAGAATCAGCACTAGAACCTGAGGGTCTTTCCCAAAAATCAGATATATTTCGATAATTTACCAATGAGTCTTC